GCCATGAGACAGGACCATCCTTAGGAGGAGCTGTCTCTTTTTATTGGTTACAAGGAAAGATAATTGACTGAATTTTGCCTAAGAAAAAAATACTATTTTGTTGTTTTGTCGCTTTATTTTCTTCCTCCTCCTCTTTTTTTTGGATATATTTTCTTTTCCAGACTTCATTACATTTGTCTTAGTACACAAAAGATTTATCTCTAGTCCTGTCCTCTCTATATAAAGATTTGTGGAACAAAGACCCATGAGCACTTGAAATGATGAATGGACACACACATGCTCTTGTGGACTGTATGTATATAGTAGGTATAGTCCCCATTCATCATTTCAAGTGCTCACATATATATTTATAATATACATACTTATTTAGTAGGGAAGAGGGGTGGGAAGTTTGGAGGGTTTTAATTCATTTTACAAACACATGCAGTTTGAAACTTGTGGCTTTATAGAGATGGGGAGGATTTTTGTCATAATTGCTTTACATCTCTTTTTTTTAATGATAATAGAGTTGACATAAATATTGACTCTTTTGCAGAAGATAAATAAGTTTAGAAGCTTTTGGTTTGTATTTACAGTATATAAACTATATAGTGTAAATACTGAAATACTGAAAGATTTTACAGATCCTTTTTTGTTGATCTCTAATGTGGATTTAAAACAAATGAAAATATTAAGCTACAGTTTTCTTCATCTGAAACATAGTTTTTCCTGATTTCTGGCTTCTCTGCCCTTAGAGAGAAAGGGCAGGAGCTTGCTGGGGAGGTAGAAAGTGGAAGAGTTCTCTATTAGCCTACCTGCAAGCAAATACATGAATTTCCCAAGCACACAAAACAACAGGTAGTAGCATTAAGCAGAATGCGGAAGGATGAAAGAAAGAATTAAAAAAGTCCTGACCTTTTGCCCTTGCTTCTAAAGTGATAATGTGGCAATCAAGGGCTTATTAGGATTCAGAAAAGAGTAAGCCCCTAATACAGATACTTAGAAAGTTTCTAACCCTATAAGAGGATAGAAATGCAAAATGAGATATAAGGTCTTATTTTTTCCAGGGTGCAAATCTGCTGAAGGTTCAGGGGAAACACCCTTATGGATGGATTCCTTGAGAATTATAGCAAAGTTCCTAAATGTACACTTTCTTCTTTGGCACCTTGGTTCCCTCTTATTAAATGCAGAATGTTAATCTGAATGGACCTATAATTTGATACTGTTGTCTTATTTCTGAGGGAGCCCCTTAACATGCTCTGTTTTATTAACTTGAGTACTCTAAAATATGTAAATATAGATTAAAATATAGTAGTTTTCACATAGTATCTTTAGTAGTTCCTTTGAGTGTGACAGTTATGTTCCTTCTCTGTGGGCAACCTGGCAGATTGCATTAGTGAACATCACTCTCATCCCCTCCTCTTGCTCCATGCCTTTCTCTTTCAGATGAAGGATGACAAACTGAAACTTTCCCTCTCCATGAAGGTCGTTAACCAAGGAACAGGAAAAGACCTGGATCCAAACAATGTTTCCCTTGAGTAGGTAAATCTATTGAACAGAGTATAGCAGAGCAGACAGGTTGTTACTGTCTTTAATTCCTGACCTTTCCACTGTAATAATCCTTCACTTTGGAGGGTGAGGGGTGCTCAGTGCTGAGTCCTTTGAAGATGGACTGGTTAGATGAAGGTAGGACTGAAGGTACCTTCTTGGTTATGCTGGTTAAAGGCTAGCAGGGGCTGGTGGAGGGAGAGGTGCAGGAAATTCCATCCCTTCCCAGCCTGGCAGGATCTTAGTTCTTGCATTTTTTCATGGCCACATGCTTTGTGATGCAAGGACTGTTCATTCCAGCCACATATTCATCTAAGTTTCACATACAGTGAAATCAAATATTCTCCTCAACTGTTCAGATCTGTCAGAACTTGCTTATATGTGTTGTGTGTGGATTTCCCCACCCCTCTCCATGTGATATCTCTTGTAGGTCAAATAAAAATTGTTTGTTTTTATCCTGGGCAAGTAAGAGTGTTTGTTTACCTGTGTAGTATAAATGTTAGTGTAAACGACGTAATTGCAGCTCCTTATTTTTGTCTGCTTTGTTTGGAGAGAAGTCGGTGGAGCTGAAGAGCCATATAACATGTTTTAACTACATGAGTAGTTAAATTACATGAGTAATTGGTCAACTCCATTCTTTGCTGTAGCTAAGGGGTTTTTTTTTAGAGCAAAACTTGAAAAAAAATGCATTTAGACTTTGTCCATGTAAGTATACTGATTTAATGGTAAAGATTGCTTGAAAATTAAACTCTCCTCCTCTTTCCAGTCAGGAGGAGAGGAAGAAACGTACTTTCAGAGACTACACTAGTCAGAAGATCACTCTGGAAGCTGTCTTGAATACTGTGTGCAAGAAATGTGGTTGCAAAGGTATATTCATGTAGGGTTATTTTAATCTTTTGATCTACCCCTTTGTGCTAGCTAGATTGTGACTTGGTCACATGGTTGTAGTGATCCCTGCCTCGTGATTGTCTTGTCCTATAATAAGGGACATTTACAGTGCAACTGCATCTTGCATCACTTTCCTTTTGTAAAGCAAAGACTCAAATGAATTTTTAAGATTTGTTTCTTAAAACTGCATCCACTTGACCCTTCTCTAAGGAACCATTCTTTCAGCACATATTTTCCCTTCCTTTGTCTGTTTTGGTGCATCTTACAGCTGAACTCTTATTCTAGTTTTGCATTTTAAGACATTAAAGTTGACTTTAACTAGATCACTTCTTTCTGAAAGAAATGGAAATTGCTTTACTGCATAGTTGGGAATACTGTTAGATAAGCTCTCCTAGAGCTGAAAATGAGTATTTTTACCTGGTGAAACTCTTGTTTGCCTCGCATACATGTGGAAAGTTGGCTTAACTGATGCCTTTTCTAGAAACTTTCATTGACTAACTGCTAATTTGCCCGAGTATAAATTGGAAAAGCTTTTTGCACATGGAATGTTTGCTGCACCTTCCTTACTGTCTTAACATTATTCAGCCACAGAGTAGTCGTTTTAACGCTGGTGTTAACGCTGATCTGGAGAAGCTTAATGAAGACAGTTTTAAAAGCACCTGTTCTAAACATTAATATGGTTCTCTCTAGTGGCAGATAACTATCTTTAAAATACTATTTTAAGAAACCCCAAAACTTTAATCTACATTCTGAATATTTGCTATCTGCTTCTTAATGATGGTGTCTATTCATAAAAGCCAGGCAGATGATATGCAAGTGCAGTTTCCACTACAACTGTTAATAGATCAGCTTTGATGTCTCCAGAGTAGAACCAGATTGAGCTGATTTCCCAAGTGTTTGCGGTTTTGCTCTCATTTACCAGATGTCCGTCACACCAGTTGACTCCCTTTCCTATCCACTTTTTTACCTGCTGCTTAAGCTGTTGCCCAGGTGTGTCTCTACTAATTTCCCTACTCAGAGAAGAGTGTCTTAGTGTTGCACGATTAATCTTTCTGGAATGACTTATGTTGCACTTGCTCTGCTGGCGTTTTTAATCTGGACCTGTAAAGCTAGTTGGAATGCTAGGGGATGGGAAAAAGTGCAGTGTAGATTCTCATAGTGTGACTAATGATCAGAGGTTTGTTGTCAGCACTTTATCTAAAATGTGGCTTTGAAAAAAGGTCTGGGTTACTACTTTGAATGCTCTTTTGCAGGTCATTTTGCCAAGGAGTGTTTCATGCAGCCTGGAGGTACCAAATATAGCCTGATTCCAGAAGAGGAGGAGGAAGGGGCAGCAACAGCAGAATATGAAAAAGATAAAAAGACCAGCCTGACTGATGACTCTTCCAAAAAAAGGAAAAAGGTACAAGGTGCACTTCTGCTAGAAAAGTGGGTCAGATGTGTTGTTCAGTAGAGTTACGTTTGTGTTTTTTTATAACTGATCTCTAGTGTGGTTTTGTACCATAACGTATAGACCTGTCAGGTCCTGCAGCGAGACAGAGGGATGTTTTTTCTTGGCCTATCTGAGGCCCTACTGAAGTTTTTCTGAATTTCTGTGACTCTTGCCAATAGCTGCCCCCCTTTCTTTGACCTAAATGCTTGCAGCTGCCTAGGTGCAGCAGGTATCCTGACCTGGTCTGAGAGATGGAACTAGGCTCATGCCAGGGTAGAACTGTGGGTTGTGTTTGCGCAAGGAGCTTATTGCATTTCTAACCTCTAAAGTAGTTTTGAGGGATAAGAGAATTCTCATGTCAAGTGTTTGGACTCTGGCTTCTGGAGTGTGCTGGGATGGCAGAATAGTTATAAAAAGTAGGTGGGACCTGAATCCAAAGCAGAAGCGTTTGGTGGTCATTCTATTTGCACAGAGAAGTGTCTTGCAATTCTAGACTTAAGCAAATAAAACTGTTCCATCAACCCCTTTCCAGCTGAGTCCAACTTGCCATTACACTTCCAGAGCCGTTTTTCTCCCATGCCAGCTCTTCAGCCTGTCTGTATCCCTGTAAGGTTGCAGCCGGCAGGGAGAGTGGTGGGATTTGTAACATGTAGAAACAGGTTAAATCAACCCAAAGTGTCCCTAGGACCTGAAGTCTCACTTTCAGTTGTGCTTTTGGTTGGCAAGGTGGTTTTTGGAGCTTTGGCACATCCTCGTCTGAGAGGAGAAGTGCTGTTTGGGGGGATTGTAGCTGGTACTTGCAGCAGAGCAGAAAAGTCAAGTGTGTAGTGAGTTTCCTTGTGTTTGCCTGTGCCCTTTGGTGTACCTGTTTCTACCCAGGAGTTGGTGCAGAATCAGGGTAACTTTAATTTGATTCCTAATCTGCAGTTCTCATTTGTGCAGTTAGGGCTCAGGATGGCTCATCCAGTGGTAGGAACTTGATCTCCCCGGTTATATTGCTGGATCCTGGTATCCAGTTCCATCCGAGAGGTGTGCTGTGCTTCCCTGACATCCAAGCTCTGATTCAAGGAATGCCTTGGACATGTATGACAGTGTATGAGCAGCAGCACTCTAGCACTCTGCAAATGACATACACATGCATATATATATATATTTTTTTTTAAATTCTGGCTTCATAGCAGACAGCTGAACAGAGTCGTCTCTCGGATCCTGGGCTAAATGTGACTCTCACCTTTCCCGACTTGTCTGGTAAAGATTTGCTTTGCTTTACAGTGGAAGTAGCTGTTGTTTATATGATAGTGGGAAGAATTATATTAAGAGGTGCACAAATACTCCTTTATTTTATCACTGCCTGTCTGCTTAGAGTAGGGATTCCCTGTGGAGTCTTGCCTTGCAAAGACTACAGGATATGTGGATATGAGAAGGGAGGAGATCAAAGATTTTCAGATGTTTACCAGTGCTGGAAAATGGAACTTTTGAGCTTTCTGGAGACAGGATGTGGGATCCTCAAAATGAATAGCTTCCTTGTTGCGTCGGGTGCCTGCTGTGATCTTGTCTGGGAGCCACCAAGTGCTTCCCTGCTTTCCTGAGTCCCCAAAGGGACTTGCACAGAATTGAAATAGCTCAATCTACCTAGTAACAATTGCTTTTCTGGCCAGGTCCTGTCTGAGGTTTTTAGTGTAAAAGTAGAGCTTGCAATTTCTAAATTAATATGTAACAGTTTCCTATCTACCATGTATCCATTTAATGACATAGCAATATTGACCTTCCTGGCTGTGTTAGTAGTATTTTTTGTACTTGATCTCTTTCCCTGGAGATTTCTGTCCTTATGGAGACACGCTGGGGTCCTCACCCCCTCTGTTTTCTCCTCAGTTTTCCTGTAATCACCTATATCAGCAGTTTATGCACAGGGATGCTGTATAGCTGGCAGTATGGTTCCCAGAACTATAGCATTAGATTTCCCAGTTTACTTCTCTTACCGTGACTTAAGGCTCTCAGAAGAAAGTGGTCCTTCTAACTTTTTTTGAAGTGGTCCTTACTAACTACAGACCTACAGGTGGATTTTAGACCACCTGAATCATGACTGAGATAGAACTGAGGAACTCATTTTTTCACTCTTGTCCCACCTCCACCCTGCAGCATCTACTAGAGAAAAGACAGATGAAGACTTCAACTCTCTGTGCTGGCTTAATCACCTGATGTGACCTCGGGCACAAGTTTCCTGGTTACAGATCACCTTGGTGTTAGGCACGTGAGGGCACTGTCCTGTCTCCTGTTGACCCTGAGAAAATAAATAACTTGGAGAAGCTCAGATACTGCTGTGACAGCACTAACACGGAAGTACCAGCGAGCAGCTGAGAGGTCTCTGAGAGCTGCTTGTTACTGCATCTCTTTCACTTTTATTCTCTTTGGGTCACAGGGTGAAGGAACTCCTATGGGAACACTTGCAGTGTGCCTATACTGGGGTTGTGTAGGAGGGAGACATGCTGGGAGAAAATAAACCCTACTGAATCTTCCCCTCATCTGCCTTTCAAGAACAGGTCTGCTGTTCCCGATGCCAGGAGTAACCCCTTGCACTTGCACCCTGCACAGCTGCCCCATCTCCTGCTCCAGTGCCTTGATTAAGTTATCCCTGCTGTAGTTTTGGGAAGGTCATTGGAGTTGCATGATAAATGTGACCTGTGATTGCTCTTCTGCAGAGTTTGCTGCTGTTTCTCTTGTCATGTGAAAGGACTTAAGTCCTGCTGCAGATGTTGTCTCCTTACTTAAAACCACACCTTGAATCGGTGTTTGTTCAGCGACCTGTAGTTCATGAAGCATTAAGCCATCCTAGTACTTAGTCTACTCCTTGTTTTACTAACTCTTAAGTAGTATTAACTTAAGGCATAGTACAGCTGTGTTCACTCCCTTTGCGTGTATGCTATTCTCTTGTTGTCCTCTCCTATGCTTTTCAAAACTTTGCTGCATTAACATACATGCCCATGTGCTGGATTCTTCTCATCAGATTACTTCCAACTAGTTCTTAAGCAAGGGATTGAATAATATCCTTGGATTTACATCATCTTGTTTGGAATTAGGCTAACAGTATTCTCTATTTTAAGAATAAAAAGCCAGTAGTCATGCTGCCACTTCTTTTGGAGATGTAGAAATGCTGGCAATCCATTTTAACTTTCCCCAAGAGTGGATGTGAATTCTCAGAAGGCCAGAACTCTGCAGAGGGTTTGGGGAAAGAATATTTAGACTTCTTGGAGAGTTCTGGACACTCCCCTCTTATCTCAGGATCAAATACTTCTAGAAGGAATGAACTGCTGTAGCATTCCTGAAGCATAGCCCCAAGCAACTCGTCTTAGGAAGAGGAGGAAGCAGGTCCTGGTGTGTTGGCGTGGTCCACTCCCAGCACCAGCCTTTTTGGAATAGCCACAGTAATTGGGAAGGCAGCACTTCAAGCTCTAGCTCAGTCTGTTCTTCTCTTTGCTAATTCCCAACACAGATCTTACAGTTCTCGAAAATGTTACTGACTTATCTTGAAACCTCTAATATATAATTTCTGCATGAATTGGGCAAGATGTATAAAGACCTATAATGCTCAAACCTCTGTGCTTGTTGGCTCTCTCCGAGCCAACCAACACCTTTATATTTGGAGTCTGTATGGACAAAACTGTAGTATTTATACAATCACAGTGTTTGCAGTGCTCAGCCTGAGCTCCATCCATCACCAGGGCTCAGTTCTGGAGGGCACCCTGCAGCTAGGGTGCGGCAGGGCTTTTCTGAGGGCAGAAATTGGGCTTTTTACCTTGGCCCTGCAGTCTCTGGTGCATAACCCAGAGCAGCACTCCCCTCTTGTGCAATGCTGCTAAGCCCTGGGATCAGCTCAGCGTGGTTAGCAGGGTGCAGGAAGGCTCTGAGTACTTCTCATTCGGTATCAGGACACTGGGTTTCAAAGAAACTAGCAGTCGTAATAGAAAAATATTATTTGTACGGCATAATTTCAGAGGAACACTGTTTTTGGACACGGAAAATGTCACACTCAACTGCTTTGCTCCCTGCAGTGTTTGCAGTCTCTATTCTCTGTGTCCAGTGTTGCCCAGTCGTGTGGGTTTTGCATTAACAGTCTGGAAGTACTTGTTCTGTGCTGGTCCAAAGAGTTTGGCTGCTAAAATAGGACCGTCCTAAAAAAGAGACTGTGATTTTTAGCCAGTGCAAAATCCACATGTGTATTTCTGTTTCCCCTGTCATCCTGAAGGGACTGATGTGACATCCTGTCTCATCTTCAGCCTTCACATGCTGAGAAGTTTTCCCAAGCTCTGGAATGAAACTGTGTTACAAGATCTTGTCAAACTTTCTCACCATGTGCACGGGAAAAGCTTGAGAAAATTCTCCTTGCTGCATCCTTTTCTCTAAAAGATTTAACTCTTTACCATCATCACTTTCTAAAGGCTGTCGTGGCTTGGTTCTACCCTTAATCTGTAGATACAGGATTTTGTGATGACTTATTGTTGTCTCACAGAAAAACCTAGACTATGGCAAATATCAAAAGACCTAAATTATCAAGATTGATAATAGAAAAACTGATACCTGATGAAGATCTGGGTGTGTAGCACCCTCTCCCATCAAGTCTTGGAGGGTTATTTGCTAAATGTGTGGCTCTAAGTCTTATCTTTGCTTTTCCACCTCCCCAAAATAGTTGCTCTGTTCCACATTAAATAAGGTAGTTGTTGCCTTTCTTCTGTGCCCCTAATTGATGACAGGTAACTGGTGCAGCGACACTCAATCCATCCTACACTGATGTCTTCAGCTGAGCCTCTCGTGTCCTCCCTGCTGCAGGAGAAGGTGTCTCTTTAAATGAAACTCCCCCGACTCAGCTTGTCTTCCTGTACCTGGTGTATTAATCTTCATATAGAAACTGAACTTGTCCTGAAAGTGGCTGAACCTAATGGAAGAAAAGTCTCATGGGGAAGAGCTAGGAGAATCCAGACTTCTTGTGGCTGTCTGTGCCCTTGCTGTAGCTTTGCTCCCATTCACCAGCTCATTCTCACTTAACTCGAGCATCCTGCAAAGCAGTGGCTGAATTCCTGTTCCCTCCTGCTCTGCTCTTATCTATGCAAAGACAATTCTGCGCTTTTGGCATTGAAATGCTCCTTTTGGAGAGCAAGCCTGGGAGAATTTGCCTTGCAGGAGCAGCTTAAGGAAGATACGAGAGGGCTCTTGGCCACTCAGTGAAACACCCTGTGCCCTCCCTATTAGTGCTTGCCTAAATTAGAGCATGGCCTTTAACATCTCCCCTGCCTTGCTGAGCTCCTGGGGCTAAAGCACTTTCAAGCCTACAGCAAACAAGGCAGAGTAGGGGTGTAAAGTAGATTATTGCAAAGGATTTTTCCCTCTTTGCCTTGTTTTTCTTACTGTCTTCAGTAGCTCCCTCTGGATTTCCTTGGTTACAGAGAAGTGCCAGCTTCTCAGCTTGCAGTCTAGTGTGTGAATATGGACATGTTGCCTTTATTTGTTCATTTATTTTCCTGCTTCTTTGCACAAAATGTGGTTGCCTTTACGTGGATGCTTTCCAGCCAACTATCAGGGTGGTGGTTGTGTCTTAACCCTGGGTAAAATGGTGGGTGTGGAGGGAGCCTTGGGCAGCACCTGCAGCCATCCAGGGGAGGCCAAGTGACTCAAAACTGTCACATCTTGCAGCTCCCATGCACGGCTGCGTGTTGGAACAGGTGGAAAATACTTTAAAATGAGAACAACCCCTTTCAGTATACAGGCCTTTCTAGTACATCTCCTGCTATTGTTCCCCTTGTGCAGTCAAACATGGGTTTTCTCTCCTTGGCTTCGTTGGCTAGGTTGGCTAGCCATCTAGGTTGGCTGCTGGTCAAGGCCTCCCTGAGGACTCATTCTGTCTGAAATGTGGTCACTTCGGATCCTTTTGTCCTGCTGTTCCTTTCTGTTTTCTCACAAAATGAGTGTGTGCCGCTAGCAGACCCACCAAAGCAGAGGTGATTTGCAGCAAGGCTGTTGTAGCAAAGCTCGGAGAGCCCAAGGATGGCCCTGAGATCACTGGGGACCTTCTTGGCAGAGAGAATAAGCCAAGCTGTTGGTTTGGGGATTCTGGCCTTCTCCCATTACACAGATTGATGTGACAAACAGTTAGTTATGTTTGGGACCTTCGTTAAACCCTTTGTTAAACTGCTGCCCACCTAACTGCGATGCTCCCCGTGGCTGTGCTCTGGACAGACCATCTTTCAACCTGCTTCAGCTTGGAGGTGAAGGGAAAACACGGCTGTTTGGTTCCACAAAACTCCTTTGCCTGGACCAGCGACACACTGAAGGAAAACCCTGCACTTCCTCCACCCCTGGCACAGGCTCAGCAGTCCTGTCACTGTCACCAAATGGCGAGGTGACCCGTCTGGAGCTGGTGACCGCGGGAGGCAGAGCCCAGCTGTGCCAAGGTCCTGGGTCCGTGTTTGCCCTCTGCATTCAACGT